AAGGGTCATTCAATATACTTAACATTTTGTTAATGTAGTCATGGCGGTCCATGAGGACAACACCAGATCCCTTATCCGGTTTAGTAATAACCAAAGAATGGTTATTCTTAAGGGATCTAATAACCTTATGGTGTTCACTTCTCCATTTATTCGTCCCCGTCTATATGGATTACCTAATTTCACCAATGACATATATTTTTTGCTAATTTCCCAAGAAAGAGATAAAGACATTTCCCAACTTGCTTTTATATATATATATATATATATATATATATATATATATATATATATATATATAGGGCCATCTGGATTGTCTCCCCATCTAAGAATTGGGACGATACGCTAAGTGTTTACTTTTCTTCTATCTATCGAAAATCTGATATGCGGGTATATATATATATATATATATATATATATATATGTGTGTGTGTGTGTGTGTGTGTTTCCATTTCATTTGGATGATGCTTGGTTGCTTCATTTACGCAATTATTGGTGAAGTGTTACACCCTTTTCTTGCTTTACCTGGAATGCGGATATATTAAGGCAATGGCATAAAGCAGAGATGAGGCTTTTAAGTGAACGCAAGACAATTATTTCTTCTATAAAAAAAGATACAAAAAACGTGAAGTTTATCTATGCATATTATTACGTTTTGCACAAATGCAAGACGTGACTAAACGAAAATATAATTAGGTTAATGATATTCATTAAGAGAGGCTTACACCATTTGTTATACGAGGAAGTCTTCCGATGTCTACAAAGGTCATTTTTTTCGACAATTTCCTTCATTTTGAAATAAAAGAATCTGTTCGCTAGCCAGAGAATATCGTCCGAGAAAAAAATCGAAAGAACAAATAAATTCTAAACCGACATTGTTGACAACGAGGCATAACGAAATTAAACGGAATTAAAATAAATAATGACACCTTCGGGATCATAGAAATAACTTGCTTGATACATAGAGTTTTGGACGCCATATCGCACACACAGATTAGCTCGATCTCAGGTGTTGGTCTATTTGTTTGGGGGTTATCAGGGCCTTTATTATGTAATCTCAGTAGGGTACCAAAAGTCCTCGTGTATAGTCAGCTGCAGAGAAACGTGGGCAGACTATGGTTCATGTGTAAATCGGACTAGGGTTAGATTGTAAATTATTTGAGCAGACGGCTCTAGGTCAAAAATAGGGAACAGTATTCTGCCACCATAACATTAAAGCATTTTAACCAATAGGCATCCAAAATCTAAGGAGGCTGTCGCAAGAAGTAAACAGGCTGTATTAAAACAAGCACCATTGCTTATATTTCATTTTTTTTCTGGCTAGTAACACGGTTTTTCTTTTCTTTAAGCGATTACATTTGCACAACCTTTTATAAATGCCATGCTTTAGTTGCATGATCTTCCTTCTTGTTTAAATTTAATATATATATATATATATATATATGTAAAATAAATTTAAACGAGAAGGAAGGTCATCTGTAACTCTCTTTTCCTAAAACATGAAACAACCTTTATATATATATATATATATATATATATATATATATATATATATATATATGAAGAAATATAGTCTTTAGATGTGCTATATTTATGGGATAAAGTGCTCAATATCAGAGATAGAGCGTGTGTAAATGAAAAGTGAACATAAAGTCAACACTTAGAGGCGACAGTCTGTTTCATGATAGATGCAATCGTCAGGCCTAACGATTTCATCTAGTATGAAACAGACTGTCGCCTCTAAGTGTTGACTTCTATGTTCACTTTATATATATATATATATATATATATATATATATATAAAGGGTGTTTCATTAAGAGGGATGGAAGTCAGTAGTAAATAAATCAGTATTACTACTGA